GCAGCATTATTTCCAATAGCAAAAAGGGGGAAGCAATTCAAGCGTCCAGCGCTGGATGAATGGGTAAGCCAAATTGGCATATACATGCAATGGAACATTATTCAGCCTTAAAAAGGAAGGAGAATCTGAATCTAAGTTTTTTGAGGTGTCCTGGCTTAGCAGGGAACATGCAGCAGGACTTCAGCCTCACTCTTGCCAACGTACCGTCCTCAGCCCCAGGGCTCACTGGTAATTTCTAATGACTGAGTTATTAAGGAGACTCCAGCCTTGTCCTGAAAGATGGTTTGAGTAGTGGCCCAGAGAGAAGCCACTAAAGAAAGGAGCTAACAGATGACTTGGCCTGAAGCTAGCAATTCTCTGATTTGGTTAAACAAACATGATCTCTCCCCAGCCGCTCTGTACTTTGGGATAAAGAGGGAAAGATGAAGAGTAAAATGACCACCAGTGCCCCCCACACCCACCCCAACCTCCCACCTCTGGCCCCAGGGGGCTGGTCCTCTCCTTGTTTACTGCGTTCCTTATGGCCCGTCACTAGGGGCAGCTCGGGGAGCTGGCCTGGCTTGCCTAGCTGCCTCTCAGCTCCCGCCCCTTCCCCAGGCTCTGAACATCCTCAAGGCGGCCGCAGACCCAAGGGGACTTCTCGGGGTGGACTCCGGGAGTGCTGCTTACACAGGTTTGGCCCTGCAGCCAAACCTGACGTTGGACCAGCCTGGTCTGGACCCAGGGCTGGGAGAGAAGGGGACGGGAGCTGGGAGAGCCACCAGCAGAGGGCACACACTGGACGGGTGCCTGCAACCTGGGGCCCTGAATGAGATTCTGTCTTGGCTTGGTCTCCTCGGAAGGGGATGTGAGTAGCTTAGGAACGCTCGACGGCTGGCCCTGCTGAAAGGCGGAGCACAGGTCTCTTTCCAGGGGTGCGTGGAGTCACATGCACCCATCCTCCTGTAGCCTGTCCTCTTGTCTGACCCTGGCTGGGTCTGTCCTGCACCTTGTACGTGTGCCTGGTGAGCAGCTCTCAGTAGCCCTGCTCACGGAGTCCCCACTGGTCTAAGTGGGACAAGTGGGGGTGGGGGTGGCTCTGGGTGCTGGGTGACAGAGCCGAGAAGGCCCAGGCCCAGAGTTCTCAAACCCATGGCCAGACAGGACGCCAAGCCCGCGGGATCTCTAACAGCGGCAAGCAGGAGGGCGCCCCTTTCACCTCCAACACCCACCTCAACGATAGTTTTTTTCATCACCCACTTATTTGTGCTCAGTTCCTTAGTCTACAGAGTTTCTTGATCTTCGTCATTCCAAACTGACATTTGGCTCCATCTGGTAGCCACCGTTCACCCACTCATCCATTCATTCGGCAGCTATCCATCAAGCATCTACTAGGTGCCAGGCGCTATGCTATCTGCTGGGGATCCAGCGAATAATAAGTCATAGATTGTGCCTGTGGTCTCATGGGACAGAGTGACAGGGACCAAGACAGGGGAGGGAGGAAAGGATGCATCTGGGCTGCCTGCAGGGCACAGCTCTGCTTAGTTCTGGGACTGCGTGGGCCTGGGCTTCTCAGCTCAGAGCTTACCAGGTGCACACAGGCCCCCAGGGGCTGCCCTAGATGAACCCAAGGAAGCCCTTTCTCTTGACCCACATTCTTTTGGGGGACCAGGAGACACAAGTCTCTAGCATTGCTTGTCTTGCTTAGTGGACGTGAATTAGTTCTTACACTGTCACGACCCCTGGGCTTCAGGCTGGGGGCAGGCGGCAGGCTGTCTCTGGTGTTGAAGGACCATACGGGGGCCAGGCCCGGGGTCTCTTGGAGCCTGACACCTGTCCATTTCTGATGTTCTCCACACGGATTATTTGGGGATGGTGTACTCCAAGTATTTACAGGGCATCTGTGACATGTAGGCACCCATGCTGGGCATGCTTACGCTCCCTCCCACCCTGCTCAGGGCTGGAAGCTCCAGAAATGCAGTCGTCACTAGCCTCAGCACAGCAAGGTGGTTCTGCAGACCCTACATCATGATACAGTACCCAACCCCAAATTAGGAACTCCATTTACAGCCCATTTCTTAGGAGATTAAGTATGCTCCAGTTATGGCAGGAGTGAAGTGTACACGTGGGTCTTTATGTACAAGCCCTCGAACACCCCTAAGAGTATGTTGCCAGTGATGGGAACCCAAGAGGGTGAGGTTAAAGCCCCACTCCACCCTCACTCCCCACTGCTTTCCCCTTCTCCAGCCGCCCTCTGGGGTCTCAGTCTCCCCATAGGCCGCTTACCAGCTGGGAGGGGTGATGGAAGGGGGCTCCACAGACTCATCCCGCCAGGACCCAAGGAGACAGTCAATGCTTCCCCACACTGGGGGGGCTGTGAAATAGGGGAAGCAGGCCAAGCATGATCCAGCAAAGGGCAGGGCTGGGAAGCTAAAATAGGGGGTTTCTGGGAGGCGCTGAGGCTTTGTCCCTAGGTCACTGCTAGAACAGGAGTCAAGGAACTTCAGTCTGGGAATGGCTGAGGGGGGCTGCGGGCCTTTTTAGGGAGGTGGCAGTGATTCTGCAGGGACCTGAAGGGACATTCTCAGCTGGAACAGTGACTCTCAGACAGGGCGATGACTGCTCTACGGGGTCCACTCCGTTAGGCACCCTCTGCCACATGCAGTTGATGCCACCTGGTCCCCGTTTGCCACGCCCCCCTAACTGTGAGGGCAGGACTGTGTCTTATGTGGCGCCGGGTCCTAGGATGGCGGTGGCACATGCCTCCTGATGCCTCAGTCAGTGAGCGGGTGAATGAGGAGGGCCAGGAGGAGCCTGGTGGGCTGGCGCTAGGGGAGAGACATCTCTGTACCCCAGGCTCAGGGGAGGACTCCAGTCCCTAGTGCTGGTTGTCACTGTTAGTGGGAGTGGCCCCTCTTCCCCTCACACTCCACCCCTGCCTCTGTCACCCTAAACTTGGGGTGGGGTTGACGGAGACTTCCCCAAGTAACCTGGGCCCTTCCCAGCTTCTAGTCCTCTGGGCAGTTGCCAGGGTTTGAGATGTGGTCCTTTCATTTTCCACGTTAAAGTATAAAATGCAGTTCTACCACCCACTAGGCAAGTGCTTCCTTTCAGCTGCTGAACAATACTAGGGCACTGAGCAGGGGAGCCGGAGGGCCCAGAGGGGGTGGCGGGGAAAACCCTCCTGCCTGCACTTCTCATAAGGGAAGGCCCCAGATTCATGGCAGCTTATCTCCCACCCAAGCGCCTCTGGGCATCTGGACCTTAGGTTGGGTCCTGGCTCTGCCACCTGCAATCCATAGAGGTGCTCTAGATTGGTCAGTTCCATCTGGCATCTGAGACAAGGTTCAGAGAGGGTAAGTAACTCACCCTAGGTCACACAGCTATTCGGGGGTAGAGGTGGTATTTGCACACAGGCCAGCTGCCTGCAGAGCTAGTGAACTCTCATGCCTCTGTAAGGAGAACTTTCCAGAACAATTCCTGACAGCTGGGGAGGGAACCTGTAGCCTTCCAGGGGTAACATCAGTTGTTGCAAGACCTGTAGTTTTGTCGGATGAGCTGGCCTTGGCCTCACAGAGGACTCCTGCCCCACAGATCTCAAGGGAGATAGGCACTGGCATCCCACCCAGGACTGCCAGCCCAGGAATATACTTTCCCCAAAAGGCAATTGACCTTTCCGAAACTCCTTGTCAGGAGGGTATAGAATCTTCCCTGGTACAAGACAATAAAGAGTTGGCACTCGACGCAGAACGGGGCAGGAGGCCGAGAAATGAATCTCCTTGGTCCCCAGAGCCCTGCTAACTGCCCTACCCTTCATGCAGGCCCTGTGAAGGGGCTCCAACTGGTGGCCAGTCACTCCCTGCCCACCCTTGTACACAGATGACCCTGGCAGCTGTGGTGCCTGATCGCAGAGGTCACCAGGTGGCTGGAGGGAGTGGAGCCAGAGCCCCCGCCCTCTGCCAGCACAGCCAGATGACAGGGACTGGGGAGGGTGACCTCGTGCTCTGAGACAGGGTGGGCAGCAGTGGGTGGCACTGGGACAGGACCAGAAGGAGCAGGACTGGCACATGCCACACGTTTCCCCGATGCTTCCTGGTAAATAACCCTGATCCCGGAGAAACGGGAAGTAGACCACAGTCCAGAGCCAAGGTGGGAGCGCCGCCTTCCGGTGCGCTCCCCTCACCCAGTCACCGAGATGCCGTCAGTGCTCCCCAGGGGCCTCAGCTAAAGCCTGGGGAGAGCCCACTGAGAGCAGAGTTGGGGACCCCAGAGTCCCTGCCCTCAGCCTGGGGCTCCAGCTGGTGTATTCTGGACACTTTCAGACAGAAAGCCTGTGAGACTGTCACCAGGCAGCCTTGGGGGACACAGCAAGAAGCTGGCCTTGAACCACTGGAGTGGGCATCGCCTTAGCCATGCTCTGGAGAAGGAACAATGTACCTGCATTTGTGGCAGCACTGTCACAGGTGGGGCACTGCCAGCCAGTCCTGCCCTCCGTGGTTCTGCCCCCTTCTAGGCAAGTGGCAAGCCAAACATTCCCATCCCTTTTGCCTCCCTTTGGAGAAGTTCTCCCGTGCAGATGCCCGCGGGGTAGTCAGCACGAGCGAATGGGGCACAGCGAGCAGTACCCAGTGGGTCCCAGTTTCTGGGGACTTGCTGAGAAACAAACAATTCTTTTCCCCTCTCTCTGCGGTCATGAAGGTTGTAAAACGCTCTCTGTTCAATCAGGTAAGACTTCTAGAGGAAAGAGCATCGGAAAGTCCAAGGTAAGGAAGAGATGCTGTGTTCTGCCCATCCGAACCCACCAGTCATTCAACTTGGATTCAAACCCAAGTGACAGACCCAAGGCAGCGATGTGGCCATACGCCTGGAGGAGGTGGGGGAAGGGAGCTGCTCCCACCTCTGAGCCTGCCGGCCAGGCCCCTGCAGTGACCAGAGGTCGCTAGAGCTTTTCAGAGGCCATCCTCTCCACCCCCCGGCCTCCATAACCGATTCCCAAACCCCGCCCGTGGGCTTTCACTAACCATAAAGCTTTTCCCAAAGAGGAAAGGAAGTTACTGCTGCTTAGGTCTCTCCTTGAGAAGCCCTTGCTCTGTGGAAGTCCTCCGTTACATCTGACCTAAGGGACACATAGTTGAGTGCGGCCTCGAGACAGGAACACAGGCCAAAATAACCTCTGGAGGTCACCAGGGTGCACCACCAGTTCTAGGAGCGAGAGAAGCCGGCCTGGCCTCCCATTCAGATCAGCAAGGAGGCAGCGCGGCCCTGGGTGAGGAGCCCTGGGTGAGGAGCTCCACTCAGCAGAAACCGAGCCCGGACGCTGCGCTCCTTCTCCTTTTAAGGCAACGTCTAAGCTCTCAGGACTACGAGCTGCAACAAGCCCCAGCCCCACTCATTCCTGGTTGTTTGCAGGAAACCGATGATTAATCAGCCACCCCCCCCCACCCCAGCCCACCAGCCTGTTTTTCATTAGGTTCTTTTTAAAGGGTTGGCACACCTCGTACAGAACAGACACACAGCAGATCCAAGCCAAGCGGATCCCGGCGGGGCAGCACCCTAAGACGCGGTGGGGAGTAATCCTGGGTGACGACCAGGCGGGAGGTCAGGTCTGGGCTGTCAGGACAGAAAGAGGCTTAGGATGCTGGAAGGAAGGAGCCCTCCTGGGGGGCAGGAAAGCGTCTGAATTGGAGTCCTGGGTCTCAAACTGGGCGGGGCTGCACCGGGAGAGGAGCAGGCAGCTCCCAAGCTTCTCTGGGCAGCAGAGCGTACAGGCACCTGAGGGATGTGGGCAGGCTGGCAGGTGGTGCTTTTGCCCCTGTGGAGAAGGTCAGAGAAGGTGCAATTGACTTGGTGGCTGCTGGCCAATCAGGTCTGAAACCCAGGGCTTCCTGACCTTGCCGGGCACAGCTGGTTAAGTTACAAATTCCCTCCCAGTGAGGCCTGTGCCTGTCACAGGAAGCCTGCAGAGGCAAGCTGGGCAGTGCACAAGGGGCTCTGAGGAGCTCTTCACGGGCCGTCTGGGAGGGAAGGAAGGAGGGGCTGGCAGGAGTCTTGGCCCTGGGGGCCCGAGCACTAGCGTGTGGGCTGCCCAGTCCTCACCTCCGAGCTCCTAGGACAGGAGGGAATTCCCTGGCTCCACAGCGGGCAGGCGGATCATGAGTACCCCGAAAGGGCTGGCCCATTGGGCTTCCCCATTTCATTCTTTTTGCAGTAAAGTCACCCCCATTTCTGCCCCCAGCCTTCAAAAGGTGACCTGAAGGGTCAGACCCATTCTCTGGGAGCCAGAGTGAGGGCTGTGGGGGCTGTCTGCCCCTTCTCCATGGGCACAGCCCCGGCGAGCGCCCCCCTTGCAGCTGGCCCTGGGGCCTGGGGGGCGCATTCCAAGGCCCCATCTCACCAGGCCCTGTGCCCCTTGGCTGCCTGTTGTGCTTCTAGCAGCGAAGCCAAGGACTTTTGCTGCTAAATAAACCCTGGGGCTGGTCCCCAGCGGCATGTGTTTGTGGTGCAGGTACAAACTGTTTCCACAGGACCCGCCCGCCCTGTTCCCTCTGGGAGGGCTGGCGGCGAGGACGGGCTCACCCACGGTGGGCGGGGCGCTGCCTTTCCACCCGTCCTTCTCTTCCCATACCCAGACCGGGGGCTCTTGAAAGACAGAGAACTGTTGTCATGATCAGGCCATGGTCTCTTCCTCCTAAAAAACCTTTAGGAAAGGACATCACGATGTCCCTCGAGGGCCTCTCCCGGAGTCGAACAATCAAATCTGATATTGAACCTTAGTTAACCCTGCCGCCCCCTCAGCTCCTCTGATGGGGGTGCGGAGCCAGGACTGGACTCCGCAGCCTCGTGGAGGATGAAACGGGTCCCTGGAGACGTGCAGCGTGACCCGAGCTGCAGGTAAACTCAAGCCTCTCCTGCAGCTCACCTGACTCCCTCCCCAAGCCTCCCTGAATACCTTCTCGGTGTCTGTGGGTTCAAAATGGAGTCACCGAGCCCTGCACCCCAAATCCAGCAGAGTCCTCCGAGGTCAGGCCCTAGGGTTCCAGGCCTCCTTGCACAGAGGTGTTTTGTTGTTTATTTTCTTACCAAAAATCAGGACACTATTGTGGTTTTTTTCAAAAAGCCACACATATTTGATGTAAAGATACATCTTTCATTCTGATTTATAAATACCCCTCACTGGTAAAATAAAATCTTAGCAGCCCTACGTTGGTTCCCCCAGCTTTTTTTTCCTGAACAGGTATTAGTATAACCCCAGTCTGAGAACCGCTCACCTGCCCTTGGCAGCAGGCTGGGCCCAGGTGAGGCCCTGGCACCCAGAGGAGCACAGGATATAAGGGGCACCAAGAAGCTCAGGGATTGAGATAATCGGACATTACAAAAAAATCAAATTTACTGCAGAAAAAATCCATGACGAACAAAAATGCAAAATTTTAAATAAAGACAGGACCAGTATTAGCAAGTTTTCCTGTTGCCTCAGGTCCCCACATGGCTGAGCAGGGCAGCACCTGCAGGCCCCCCTCTAAGCCACCGGGCGGTGAGGGGCCATCGGCGCTGGGCCCGAGGACCCTCGGGGGGAGGCACTGCCACGGCCCCTCAGGTGTCCCTTGGCCCTCTCAGGACCCTGGGCTCTGCTCTCTGCGTTTGCTGTCCGGTGCTTGGTGCACTGTGGCCTCAGGACAGACGGCCTTTTGGGGGTGCAGGGCAGCTATGAAGCGCTCCCCACGCTTGTCCCCATACTCACTCCTCTCTCTCCACAGCCAGTTCTTCATGTTTGTTTTTCTTTCCTGAATTCTTAGGAAAGCAAGCAAGTGGAGACCAAGACAGAGGCCAAGAATGGAGAGGAAAGGGGCAGAGATGCCAGCAAAAAAGCCCCGGGCCCCCGACAGGACGCAGCCCTGGGGAAGGAGCCAGAGAGGGGCGGCTTGGAGAGAAGCTTCTCAAGAGACAAGGATGCAGCCGAGGGCAGGAGCAGGGACAAGCCCAGGGAGGGGAAGGTCGTCAGGGGCCTTGACAGGGGCCGGGTCAGAGCGGCTGTGGACAAGAAGGAGGCGGGCAGGGAGGGGACGCGGGAGGAGAGGGCGGCCGCCCCCAGCGAGGAGGAGAAGAAGGGGGGCGGCAGGGGCGCCGGCCTGAGCAGAGACAAGGGCCAGGAGACGGAGGACGTGAAGGAGACGACGAGCAGCCACAAGGGGCCGGCCAAGGGGAGAGACCCCAGAAAGAGGGAGGAAATGAAAAGCGGGGCGCAGGCAGACCCCAGGAAGCAGCAGGAGAAAGTGAAGGGCGGGCACACTGACCTGAAAAAAGGGGATGAAAAAGTCAGAAAGGATGAGCCCCTAAGTGAGCAAAGGCCCAAGGAGGAGGGCCAGACCGGATCGCCAGAACAAGCAGCCCCCTGCTCCCCGCCGAAGCCCTCGGAAGGGCCCGCCGCGGCGGGAGAGGAGGAGGCGGCCCCCAGCATGTTTGACGAGCCCCTGGAGAGGGTGAAGAACAACGACCCCGGGGTGACCGAGGTGAACGTCAACAACTCGGACTGCATCACCCCCGAGATCCTGGTGCGCTTCACCGAGGCCCTGGAGTTCAACACGGCCGTCAGGGTGTTCGCGCTGGCCAACACGCGCGCCGACGACCACGTGGCCTTCGCCATCGCGCTCATGCTCAAGGCCAACAAGACCATCACCAGCCTGAACCTGGACTCCAACCACATCACGGGCAGGGGCATCCTGGCCATCTTCCGGGCGCTGCTGCAGAACAACACGCTGACCGAGCTGCGCTTCCACAACCAGCGGCACATCTGCGGCGGCAAGACGGAGATGGAGATCGCCAAGCTGCTCAAGGAGAACACGGCGCTGCTCAAGCTCGGCTACCACTTCGAGCTGGCCGGGCCGCGGATGACCGTCACCAACCTGCTCAGCCGCAACATGGACAGGCAGCGGCAGCGGCGGCTGCAGGAGCAGCGGCGGGCGCAGGGGGCCGGCGGCGAGAGGGGCCTGCTGGGGGTGCCCAGGGCCGGGGCCCCGGCCAAGGGCTCCCCCGGACCGTCGCCGCAGCCGTCCCCGAAGGCCTCACCCAAGAACTCGCCCAAGAGCGGGGGCGCCCCCGCCTCCCCGCCCCCGCCGCCCCCGCCCGCGGCACCCCCCCTTGTCATGGAGAACCTGAAGAATTCGCTCTCGCCGGCCACCCCGAGGAAGGTGGGCGACAAAGCCCTCCCCGCCCAGGAGAAGAACTCCCGCGACCAGCTGCTGGCCGCCATCCGCTCCAGCAACCTGAAGCAGCTCAAGAAGTTAAGTAGTCGGGGGCGCGGCCGCAGGACGGATGCAAAGGGGGGGCTGCAGAGCACGACGTGGGGCTGCACGTGCATCCTCCCGCCCCCAGGCAGGCCACAGCCGCGGTCCCTTGGAGGGAGACGCTCGCACTCCGAGCTTCTAACCTCTCCACCCCGCAGACGGACTTGTTTCTCCTAGAAACGCAGTCTCTACACAGCAGTTCTGCTCAGGGCCTTCCTTTAGGTCTCTCCCCCGCCCCTTCCACCCCATTCCCAAAACGAAATGGTCTTTGCTTTACGAATTCCCTCTTAGGACCAGCCAAGTCCTACAGGTCAGTTTACCCCTAAGGTCTCTGGGAGACACAGCGCGCAGGAGGGTCCGCCTGTGACTACCGGGTGCCAGGGACGCAGGGGTCATCCCTGGAGGGTCTCCTCCAGGCTCCGCCTCCCTGGTAACAGGTCGGCCACTCACCCACCTGACTGGAGGTGGCAGCTGCCCCTGCCCTGGCACCAGCATCTGGACCTGACATCATGACGTAAAGGACGACCTCGGTTATAATTCCGGTGGTCATTTGATGACATCCCATTTTTGCAGAAGAGGAAAAATGTTCACTCTGTGTCAACACCTCACTTATTCTCTCCACAGACGTACATGGAGGCATCTGGCTTCCAGGGAGAGGGTGGCGAGACGACCCCCCAAGGCCCCAGGCTGAGCTGCCCTCTCTAAACTGTCCACTTTGCCCCTACAGGTGGAGGTGCCCAAACTCCTGCAGTAGGACCAGGCTGCCAGCACCAAGAGGGCCCAGCCTCGCCTCCCGGGGCCGCCTGCCTCCGCCCGCCCCGCTGCGGCGGTCCCCAGGCTGCCCTGGCGGGGCTGCAGGCCTGGCGCGCGCTCGAAGAAGGACGCCTTCTCTCTTCTCCCTCTTCTCTTCTTGTCTCTGAGGTGCTCCAAAAATATCTTTTATACCTGGAGCTGTTTCTGGACAAGAAGAGCCCTTTTAGCACGTCACCGGGAAGTGGCAGAGCCCGTGTAGCTGGCAAGATGTCCCAAGGGCCCACATGACCAGCCCACCCCACTGCCCTCCAGGGCCAGGATTCAGGCCTCTGAGGAGCCCTTGGGGCAAGGCTGCTGGGCTGTGGCACTCTGTGTGGGGCAATGGCAAAAGATTCGGGGCCATGAGGGCCCAGGGAGTGGGAGGAGAGGCTGAGGGCACCCCAAGCCCCTCCTGACTACCCATGGCAGGGGAAGCTGGCCTGGATGGGCAGTGCCTGGTGGGGAGTGGCTCCAGATGGGGGGAGAGGGACAGACAGCAGCTGGACCTGAACGTCTGATGCCAAAGCAGACATTTTCCTCACGCCTGCCTGCTGTTGTATAAATAGCTGTGTATCTGTTTCTCCGTAAGATTTTGATAATATATGCAAGCCTTTAGCCATGGATGCCTGTGCACACCTCTGTGCTGTGCCACGGGCCTTGATGCTCACCCTGATCTCCCTGGAGGGCTCTAGAAACTCAGGTTCCCTCACGTGCCATCCCGAGCTGACCACAGAACAAGTTTCCATCTGCAGAAAGTACAGTGCGAGGGAGGGATCTGCTCCCTGCACCCCCTGTGCCTGGAGTCACTAGCCAGGGCTGCTCTTGGGGTGACAGAGCAGAGTGGAACACAGGGCCCTGGGATGGCTATATTAGGCATGTTCAGGGGAGGCTCATTCCATGACTCTTCCTAACTGTGGGCTCAGGGCCAGCTCCCCACAGCAGCCACAGGCCCAGGAAGCCAGCCTTAACAGGCAGAGATGGCAGCCACCATCTGGGGAGAGGACCTACGCCAGGGTACCCATCACCCCCACCCCCGGCCCCTGCTCACGGTTTGCACTCCCCGCCAGAGCTGCGGGCTACTCTCCTGCCCTGATAGCGCCCCCGCCCCTTGGTACTGTGGAACTGCCGCCTGGGGTCTGGGCCACTTGTAGGTTTTTCTGGCTCCAGGTTTTGCCTCAGTGGCAGGGAGCGCAGCAGTTTCAGTCTTTGGGGTAGAGGTGGGTGACCCTGTCAGGAAGCAAGGTCACTGTGCTAGGTGTGGCCAAAACCAGAGGGCTGACTAGTCCCCAAAACAGAGCTCAGATCTCAGGATGCACCCTGCCCCCACTCCTCCCCACCCATTAGCCTGCCTCCCCCCCCACCCCCCCTGCCCAGGAACCTAAACAAGGGTGGGTCCCAGGAGAGGGGAGCCAGACACTTGCTGCCTCCTGGATGAAAGGGTGTTAGCTGGCGCTGAGCCCGGCCACGGCTGCCATTTACCCTGTGTCTGTGGGTGCTTTAGGGTGCTTCAGCTGATCCTTCAAGTCTGCGAGGTGCGTACACGTATTATCTCCATTTGCAGATGACAGTTTGGCCAGAGGTTAGCTAACACGTCCATAACAACACACTCCGATCTCCCGCCCCTAGCGCTACTTCTGATAACAGGTCCCCCTCTTCCCCTTCCTGAGACGACCCTGGTGATGGTGCCCCAGGAAGCTCGAAGCCTAATCAAGCCCAAACGACCAGTCCCCAGATCCTACGGCGCTGATACAGCCAGTCTCCTTAGGAAGCCCTTTCTACCAAAAGTAAAACAAGATTTAGTCAGATTAAAAAACAAAATCACACCTTCTACTGTGCACAAGCTGCCAGCGCAGCTTCCTCCGCGCTCCCGGCGCCCCTGGGTTGGGCGGCGGGGCCGAGATGATGTCATCCTCCCGCCTCCCGTGCCTTTGAACCTGGTGCGGGAGCGCAGCGCCACCTGGCGGCGGACCGCGTTCTAGGCGCTCCGGCGGCTTCGGGGTCGGACCCGGGCAGCGCCAGGAGCCCGGGATGGCGGGGCGGACGGCTGGCACAGAGTGGGGCCACGCGCCACCCGGGAGGAGGGCGGGCGATGGGCACACTGCGGACGCATGTGCTCAGGGGTGGGCTGAACCGCAGGAAAGGGGCCTGCACTCCGGCCGCGCCTCCCGCCGCCCACCTGCCCCAACCGCCTGGCAGACGCCCGGATGCCCTTCATGCAACCAAGGCGAAAGAGTCGGAAAGCAGCTATCCTTGCCCAGCGTCCCTTATGCAGGGAAGAAAATGAGGTTCAAAGGGACCAAATGCCCTAACAAGTTGATGAATCCGATTCAAACCGAGGTCTCCCACTGACCTGGGCCAAGAGGCCCCCACTGGGTGCCCCCCGCACCGCCCCCCGCGGGCTGCCCCGTCACCTCCATGGTTCCAGCAGAAAGTGCTGCGCATCGCCCCGTCTGGCCGCGGGCCCGCTGGCTCCTGCCGCTGCGCCCGGCTCCCTGCCTTCCGGCCCACCCAGCAGGAAGTGGGTTCGCGGCCTTTCCGCCAGGCCCTAGGGGCCGCCCGCGATGGGCTCAAGGCCCTGGCCCTGGCGGGGGACGCGATGGCACGCGCAGGCAGGGGCTGCTGAGGCACTCACCCACTCCTCAGGTGCTGCGAGCCCCGACATGGCCACTCAGGTGGCCTTCTTTGAGAAGCGTAAGTTCTGGGCTCCAGTCACCCACCAAGCTTGCTTTCTTACCACCAAGATCACCAAGCCTGGAGCGCCATCCCCTGCGGACACTGCAGGCGTCCTCAGCCCTCTGAAGGCAGGTCCCAAGGCCTGGGCCGCCGTGGGCATATGCTACCTAGTGTGAGGGTGGGCTGCAGGTCTGGAAGCCCAGGCCTGGTGAGCGGAAGCCCCGCTCGCCACTTTGCCAGCTGCACACCTTGGCATGTATCTACTTGCTCCACCTGGACTCTGCACCCTCTCCCTGCCCCTTGGCCCCCTTCTCCAGCTCTCTAAGCCCCTCCTTTCTCCCACCGCCCTCCTTGCCTGAAGCGTCTGCTTTCCTGGCTGCCTCCATTCTAATCCCCCCCCCTCCCCCGGGCTCCCTGGCCCCCACCACAGCTCTCCCTCTTTGTGCTGACCTTTCATTCCTCAGGCTCCCGTGGCTGCGCCTTGCATCTCCATGCCCCTCCTCCCTTCCCCCTTTGAGCTCTGCCATCCACCAGGCCTGAGCCGGCCCTGCTGGCCCCAGAATGCAGTCCATCTACTTTTGCATAGATGCTCTTGCCCATCTCTGCCTCCCAGGCTCCCCTAGGGTCCTCAGTGTTCCCTCCCAGACTCCAGGACCCTATTTACACCACTGCAGACTCCACTCCTTGAGGGTCACTGCTCCTCCTGCCCTGTACCTGGGTATAGGGGAGGGTGCCTGCATGGTTTCCAAGGGTGCCAGGTGAGGGACAGGGCGATCAGGAGGCGCAGTTACAGCTCTGTGCTTCTGCTGCCCCTGTTCCCCTGGCGATGAGCAGGTGGGGTGCAGTATGCAGAGCTCTGGAGAGAGAAGGGCATCGCCCCTATTTTAAAAACTAGAGAATGTGGGAGGGGCCTTCTCTGCTCCGGGCATGAGAAGGCTCCATCCCATCAAGCTTTCCTCCTTTACCTTAGGAGTCTTACTTCCAGTGCTTCACAGAGCTGATTGACTGGAAGTGCTGGAAGGGGGCGGAGTCCATCCTTTCCAAGGCAGCCATTGACTGGGATAAACCTGCCTCCCATCCCAGACACAGACAAAGCGGATTTTTAACTGGCCCCAGGTTGTTGATTTAAGGATAATTAACTCTGACAGGCATGGCTTTGCATTCATTTACACCTCATTTCTCAGGGAAACTCAGAAACCTTATCCTGCAAATCTCCTCCACCTCCCAGCTTCAGGAAAGAGAAGGGGGAGACTCGGCCCCAAACCTCGAGGTGACCTGGTGACCCTCTCTCCGAAGAGTGAAGGCAGAAGGGGTGGACTGGAAGCCAGGACACTCGGTGGCCCCGGCCCCCACCTCCTGCCCGCGCCCTCGGAGACAGTGGATTTGCAGCAGTGGCCCCAGCTCTGTCCCCACCAGCATTAGCTTCCCCCTCTGGTGGGGACCAGGGGGAGACTTAGGGGCCCCCTGGGAAGGGAGGAGGTGGTGAATCTGGGGCAGTTTTGTCCATCGGAGGAGTTGCTGACCTTGGCCTTAAGGCAGCTGGCCCCAGAGCCTCCCCAGTATTATATGGGTGGCAGACGGCCCCGGAGGCAGGGTCAGCACAATGGCCACATCCAGAGCCCCTCCCGGCTGACGCTGCAGGAGCCCAGCGGCCTGCGGCACCGGGGGCAGCCTGCTGCACAGTGGGCTGGAGGACCTGTGGAGGGCGTGAGGAGGGCCGGGGCACGGGGGGGTGGGAGCCGGGTTTGGGGAGGGGAAGGGATGGCTGTTTGGTGATGGCTTTGCCAAGCTGAGTTGGCATGCGCCCACTTGAATCCAGAACTATAGAACTTCCTTCCCTGGATCTCTCACTGCACAAGTCCTTCGAACACATGGACCGTGTCCTCAGGGAGGGAGGCAGGGGCAGACGGTCTAGCTGGGTGCACAGGCAGCTGCAGGGGTGGGGGCATCTGCCTGGCCCAGTGGGCAGCGCCGGTGTGGGCCTGGGACCTGATGCCTCAGGGTGCCCTGATGATCCAGGCAGCTGACAGAAGCACCTTGCACCGGTGTCCTGGGGGGCCCAGTCTCCCCACTGAGCTCCTGGGCCCAGGGCCTCTGATCAGGGAGGAAGGACAGAACTGAGGGTTACGTGTCCATGTCTCACCCTCCTGATAGCACTGGGGCACTACCCCCATTCTTTAGATAATAAACATCCTCATAAAGGAGTCTTGGCGACCTTCAGAGACATACCCAAGGTCAGACAGTGGTGGTGCCCAGTGTGAATCTAAGTGTCCTGAATGGGCGAATGTGCTGTTGTACAGTTGGCAGTGCCTGTGTGTGGCGGGGCCCCTACTGGGGAATCTCTGTAATGCAAATGACATCGAGGCCCAGCCCCCCACCCCCACCCCAGCTCCCGGATGGGGGGGTTCCAGAGGAGGGAAGTGAGGGGCTCTGTGCTCCAGCCCCGTGCCTGTCCTCCCCCGCTGGGAACTGGGGGGGCTGGCAGCAGCCGGGGCTACTGAAGGTGCGGGTGGCCCAATGAGGCACCAACAAGTTACATCTTTACAGCTTTAATCCAGCAGCGGAGACCTGCCAGTGGGGCAGCCGGAGGGCTCCTGTTGACTGACGACGGATCCCCCTCCCTGACCCACCGAGGCCCGCAGGGGACCAACAGGAGTGGCCTCGGCCTTCCTGGCTTGGATCCTGGGAGCAGAGGAACTATAAAGAAAGCTGGAGCTATGACCCAAACTTTCGTGTCCTTCCCCTGCTCCCAATAAAAGCAGTCTGCCAATCCCCTGCCCTCCCAACCCACCCCTCATTCATGGCCAAGTGCCAGCTCAGCTCCTGTTCCATTTCCCTGGGGCTCTGTCACCAACAGGGCCCAAGGCTTGGCTTGATCTGGGACGCAGTGAGTAGGGACCCCTACCCACCCCAGAGCCAGATGCAGATACCAGAGAGGGGTATCACTGAAGGGCAGCAGAGGCGGGCTGGTCCCTCAGGCTCCTGGGTAGGAGGGCTGGGATGGCACGTAGGGGGGAGGGGCTGAAAGCCAAGGAGACAGGAGGAGGGTCAGGCTGGCATCAGAGGCTGTGCAACAGGCCCCAGCCGCTGGGCATGCAGGATCCTAGGCAGGTCTCCAGCTGGAGGTAGAGGAAGTCTGGGATCGGGCCTCGGGGTGAGAGATGGGCAGGGGAGGTCCCCATGCAGGGATGGGCGGAGGCAGTGCCAAGGGCTCCAGATGCTCACTTACCTGCAGGGTTGTAGATAGGGGGCCCAGCGGGGTAGAGTGGGTACTGGGGAGCAGGACCGCCAGGTGGGTACATGAAGCCAGGCTGTGGGGGTGTGGGGCCAGCTTTGGGATCCTGGGGGTACGGGTACACTGGCTGCACTGGGAAGCCTGTCATTGGAATCTCCTGGCCTAGGTGAGGGACAAGGATCAGCATTCAGAGTCCAGGGGAAGCCTCCTCCTCTTGCCCAGGAGACCAGGGAAGCCCAGGGAAGCCCCACTGGCCCCCGCCTCAGGCAGGCTCCAGCTGGCCACCTGCTGCCTTTGCCTTCCAGACCTTGCTTGGCGGAGTTGAACAGGGATCTGTGTGTGGGGCCCTGACGGGTCAATCTGTGTTTAGCATATTTGGTTGGCTCAGCAGCTTTCAGAGCCCTGATGAGCTGGAGAGCATAGCCTGGCAAGGAGACGGCAGCTCCAGGGGCTGGTGTCTTGTAACTTACCAAGCAGCACTTCTCTCCTGCAGTGCTCCCCCACAGTGTCACTGTTCCCATGCCCACCAGTTTGGGCACATATGCAGTCATGTGCAACACTCAGGCACAAATCCACTGCATGCTAGAGCATCCCCACCAGTGCTCACCACTCTAGACCCCACCCTGTCTACTTCCTGAGAGCCATGTGTGGCATATGCCCACTGCACACACACCACTGTTGGCAGCCGGCCTGCCGTGCAGATTTAAGTGCTCACATGCGTGCACATACATATGTACACACAGTCCAATGTTCACATATACCCCTGGCACATTCTTATATCTGGGCCTACAGGCTGGCAGGTGTGTATACAGAAGCACACACTACTACCGAGTTCACGCATCTGCAAACTCTCTGGTGCCCACGTGGGGCTCAGCCCCGCCTGTCTCAGGCTTGCCTTGCCCAGTACCATCCATACCTTCAAAGGGGCTCTGTAGATGCTGGCGCCGGCGGTACAAGTAGCAGCAGGAACAGAGGAAGCAGCAGATGGTGGTGGCGACTACGGCCACAAAGAGGATCACGGCGGAGGCGATCCCTGCTATGGTCTTAGGACTTTAGACAAAGAACAAGTCTTCTCACCTTCCAGCATTCACAGGAGGGAGTCCTCATTTTGGTGACCATAAAACTGTGCTCCAACTCCTGGCCAGCAGGGGGCCACCGCAAGCTGACATTTGGGGTTCCCTGTGGGGTCCTGCCCAGTCCCTGTAGAGGAGATCTTAGAGGACCTCCACTTCCCAGAAGGCTGGGCTGCCTGGAAGGCTAGTGAGAGGCATGCCGGTATTTGTAGTGCGCTCCCACCCCACTGCGGCTACATTGCACTGTTAATTGCTTAGACTCACAACATGTTAGCACGGGGAGGCGTCTTAGCAATAACCCAGAGCCATGTTTTTCAAACCCCTAGACACAGTCTCTTTATACCTGCTTTACGTATTAGTAGTCCCCTTCAAAAGGAAGTTTGCAACCTGCTAATTTTGGCAACCCCATCATTTTGTTTAGAGGAATCAATGACCTGTAAGGGAAGGTGTCTGTGTTCCTCAAGACCACACAGGTAATGGAAGGGGACCGACGAACCAAACCCAAGGCTCCTGCCTTCTTGCCAGAGCTGCTTCCCCAAAGCTGCAGGGAGCGCTGGGCGCAGAGCTGCACTCTCCCTCCATCCCACCTGACCTGGCCCAAGACTTCGACGGTTACCCATGTGGCTTTCCTGGGACCCTGCGGCCCCAGCTCTACCACCCAGCCTCACCGCCAAGCTGGAGTCCTGGGTTTTGGCTAGGAAGGTGGAGGTGGGCAACGGAGAGGGAGATGGGCAATGGAGAGGCCCCGCAGGCCTTTGGGAAGGTGGCTGGAGCGCGTGCTGGCGCCCGGCGGGAGCCCACCTGAAGGCCAGGCAGTGCTTCTGCTGACGCTCTGTGATGAGCAAGGTCAGGTCGCGGCAGCAGTACCGCTGGTAGCAGGTCCCGCAGCAGAAGGTGAAGAACTCGCAGTTAAAGCCCGGATGCCAGGAGCCATTGCGGTCCAGGTACCACAGGCAGTCCTCGCCGGCCAGCGCTGCGGGCAGGGGTGGGGCGCCCAGTGGCCACCAGGCCAGCTCCCTGGCCGCGCCTGGCCCCGCTCCCCCGGCGGGCCCCAGCCCGCTGGCTCCCGGCACCTGGGAGGTACCCCTCGTCCCACCCGGAGGGGCTCACCCGAGCCCCGGGGCCTCTCTGTGCAACCGGCCCGCGCCCCGGGTCCGCTTTCGTGGCCCGGCCTCCCCACGTTTCTTCCCGCCGCCCGGCGGCAGCCCCGGGGTCTTCGCGGAGGCCCGCGCCGAGGTCCCTGCCATCCCTCCTCAGCCCCCCGGCTCCCGCCACCCCGCTCCCCGTCCCTTACCCAGGGGGGCCCCCAGCACCAAGAGGGCGATCGCAGCGAGCGGCGCGGCCCCGCAGAGCCCCGCGGGCGGCATGGCGGGTCGGGAGCGGCCGAGCCGGCCGCCGCGGGAACGGACCGCAGAAGCAGGCGGACGGGCGGACGCTCTGCGGGGTCCAGCCCGCCGCCGGGCTCGGGCGCCTCTCCCGCCTCCTTCGGGGGCGGGCCTAACGGCGGGCTCGCGGTAACCCTGCCCCCAATGCCGCGCCCGGCCCAGGGGTCCTCCCCCCGGCGACGCCCACCCGCCGGGCTCCGGGGCTGAGCGCCCCTCACCCAGCCCGGTACTGCCCAGCTTCCCCTTCTCCGGCTGCACGGCGGCTCCTCCCGCCGGAGCCACCGTGGGCATAACGGGCCTCTGGGCACTGGCCGGGGAGGCCTGGCCCAGGGCCCGCCCCCCGCCCCCCGCCTGGGCCCAGTCCGTGTCCCCAGCCGCCTAAGTCTAGACCCTGGAGCCATCTCGGCATGGCCAGGCACAAGAGCCAACCCTGCAGGGGCAGGCCGGACCTTCTCTGTCCCTGTGTCCAGCCCAGGACGTCCTGCGGAGAGGGGCGGAGGGCAGGGAGGGGAGGCAAAGAGGCTGTGAGCACCCCGCCCCCACTCCCAGAACACAAGCACCCATTGAGAGGCGGCTCAGAGCCGCTTTGTGCCCCAGCCGTGCCCACAGTCCTGGACGCTGCCAGCTGCACTGGCTCCCGGAGATGGCCCCTTCCCCCTCCCAAGTGGACAGCGCCCGGCATGCACTAGCCTATGGCCTCCCCAGCAGCAGTGGCAGGCGGCCCCATCCACTTAGACACCCTTCACAGTGAAACCCCTTTCCTCACAGAGCAGTCCTGCAGAAATACTGCGTTAGGCTGCGAGGACATGGGGAGGGCGGGAGTTACTGACAAGGGAGACAGTCTTCCAGGGAGCGGGTAGTCAGTCAACCTTCTTACAGATTTATCCTAAGTGTCAGCAACTGTGCCCCAGGCTACATGGGGTACCCTGACCAGAAAATGCAGATCAAGCTAGGCTGAAAACCAGAGGCCTACCTTAGCCCCTTGCCTTGTACAGCCCTTCACAAAGCTCTTGGACATTTCCCTTATTTGAGGCTCTCCACAATTCCGTGAGCTAAGAGAAGGTGACAGGTGTGATTAGCAGGCTTCCATTTTACAGACAGAGAAACTAGACTCCTGGGAGTTAAAGGACCTGCTCAAGGTAGTACAGCCAGTAAATGCAGAGGCTTCTAAACGCAGGTGGATCCCCTTCCTGGACAGCAGGTGTAGACAGTGAGGTTTCCGGTGTTCTGGGGTAAGGGAACCAGCGCAGGGCACGGAGGGCCTGCAGAGTCTAAGTGAGGGAAAGGCAGCCTGAAGGGCTGCGCCATCTGGGACCCCTGTGGTGCCAGCACACCTGCCCAAGGGGCTGGAGGATGGAGAGGGGTGGCTCCTGCCCTACGACGCTGCTGGCAGTCAGATGGGGGTGCAAAGGGCAGTCATAAAGGCAGCAGCAGAGGGTCAAAGAGAGACCCTTTCAATTCACCCTCTGGACGGTGTGTCCATTCCATCCATCTCCTCTTTCCTGGGGCACAAGCTCCATGAGTTCAGGGACCATCTGGCCATTGTGCTTGGCCCTCTCTGTAGGTGCTCAGTCACTGTTGGTTGAACGACTCTCAGATGAAGGGCTGTCCCTCTCCCTGTCCGAGGCTGACCCTCCAGGGTGCGCTCTGGAGGCCATCTGATCCACCTCTTCACTACTCCTTCTCTAGGGTCTTTAGCTTCTCCTTCCTTACCAGCTTCTTTTCCTCAAAGGAAAATGAAATCTTGTCTTTCCTATTAAAACAAAAGAAAACCACACAAAACCATGTCTCCCAAAACTCACCCCTCTCTAGGTCCTGCTTTTCTCCTTTCCCCAACCAGTCTTCCTCAAAGCTTATACCCCTGCTGACACTTCCAGCTCAACATGACACCAAGCTCTCACCACCAGCATCGGTGATCTAATTACAAAACTTTAGGAAAACTTTTCAGTCCACTAGATGGGAGGTGATTAGGCAGAGGGTGAGGAATGGGGCTGTGGGCAGCCAGAGGAAAGAGCTGGCAGCCCTGGGTGAGCCGGCACTCCTTGGCAGGATGCTGGAGCCCGGAGGTGGAGAGCTGAGGCTCGCTATGTCGCCATAAGGAACCTGTGTCCTGACAGAGGCCACACAGCTGGGCAGGAGTGGAAGAGAGTGGCTGCTCTGCGGAGGGACTGGGGGCCCCACAGGGGGTTGCCCAAATCTCCAAGTCTGCAGGGGCTCCACGGCACCTTCTCCAGGCAAGGGAGTGTCCTACCCTCAGCAAGCCCATCTCCTGGCCCCCAGTGGCGGGGAGGGGACTTCCCTGGAAAAGGGGAGGCAGACAGGAATCTGTGACCGGATGAGACAAAACGTGGACTTTGTCATTAGCCAGCCAGCTGTCCCCAGCATGCCTGAAGTAGCATGATAATAATGTTAGCAGCTACCGCCGCAAGTAAGTTTGCACATTGTACAGATGAGGAAACTGAGGTTGGAGGAAGTTAATTTCCCAGCTCATGCAGCCGGGATTTGAGATTGGGCTTTCGTGACTTAAGTCCAAGCCCTTCCTCTCCACCACCTGCCTCTCCTTAAACATGTCTAAAATCTCCCTGCTGTGCTTGGCATACAGAGCACACATACTCTAGAAAACTTTGCTGCCGAGCCCTTATGCCAGCAGAGTCTGTGTGGGAAAGAGGGTACTGGGGCTATCTGGAGTGGGGAAAGGCCAGGACCACGCCGGTGTCCCAGTCTGGGCTTGGCCTGGGCCGGGGCAGGGGCACTGCTGAGTCATCTCGCCGCTGGGCTGTGTGACCAGCGCAGGGCTCCTCCCGGCCTGCCTCAGCCCAGGGCCCTGGGGCCTCCACTCCAGGGGCTCCTGTGCCCCCCAGCTGTCTGGGGTTGAGTCGAACATTCTGAGATCAGAGAAACTCTCTTCCTCCTCTGCGCGGTCAGCGCTGTCTTGGGAGAGCACCCGGGCTGCTCTGCGCTCCTCCCCGGAGTCTCTGGTAACCCCACTCCTGCGGACAGGTAACTGGACGTGCCTTTCCTCTGGGTGATTCGATCCCATTGCGCCCACCCCAGGGGGCATGGATACCCTGATTCTCCTCGCAGTCCAGAGCTGGGGAGAACAAAGCCCAGGAGAGCACCAGAAACTTGGCGGCGGTCTCATGACTTAGTTGGAGACTAAAGGAACCTGGCTCCCACTGCCCCAGAATGAACCTGTCTTCCCACAGCAGAAAGTCTCTCCTGGTGTCTAGCTTTAATCTTTTTGCTGTATATGAAAGACTGCGTCTCCTGTGTTTGTCCCCTTGGTGGGAGGTCCTGTGAAGTGCTGAAGGACAATGGGGATCAGCCTCACTGCTGTCCCAGCTACTGGTGAGACGCACTCTTCCCTGGAGGGGCTTTCAGCAATTCATTTGCAAGATTACCTCTACCGGAATACCAGGTGTCTGCTCCTCTACAGTCTTGTGTCAGCCTGGGCTTTAGGAAAGGAGTGGGTGAGGCCAGGTCTGCTTGGATGGCCAGTGGAGCAGACGGGGAGGGCCAGGTTGTCTTTAAATGGCACCTTACTCAGCCTGCAGCTCTGCCAACTGGGCATGGTGGGGGCAGGCAAGTGTTATTTTGGGACCTCAGGGGAAGGGAGGGAGAAGGCTCTGGTTACAGTCCTCCCTCCTGGGAAGGGTTTGGGGACGTTGGGCCTCAGCCCTCCATCTGGCCCCCTGCACTCTGGGGCTGTTCTCAGCCTCGCCTAATTCACCATCCGTGCAGCTGGGAACTGCTGGGTCTGTAGAGGCACGGGGCCTTTCTTGGTGATACCAGACCTAGGTAGCAAGAATTGCATTAGATTTAGGATTAGACTAATAATAGCTGAGATTAATGCTTACTATGAGGCAGGCTCTGAGATGCTTTTTATGTTGACTTTAATCCTCAACATCATACCATGAGACAGATACTGATATTATAGCTGTCCTGTGATTAGGAAATGGAGGCACAGAATTTACTAAGTAGCTTGCCTGGAGTCACCCAGCTGGTAAATGGCAGAGCCAGGATTCAAACTCAAGCAGTCTGTCTACAGAGTTCATGCTCTGAACTGCTCACTGGAGTCTGTGTTGCTCTGCCACTTACTGCTCAGCACGCTTGGTGGAGCCACTTCCCCCCACTGGTCTTGGCTTCCTTGTTTGTAAGTGGCCTGCGGTTCTGTCAAGCCCATGGAACCCCTGTCAGCTGGCTGAAGCGCTCTGGTCCATTCTCCCTATTCAATGGCAAAGTAATTTACTTAAGGTCACAACAGGTCACTGGCAGAGCCTGGGCAGGAACCCAGCCTCCTGCCTCCACACGTGTTTGTTCACTAACATCTTGTTAGTGAGCCTCGTGAGTCAGGGATACGGCAGGGGGGCCAAGCCAGCGAGGAATACATGACCAGGTATGAATTTGCCATCACAAAACCAGGCGTGGAAGAAATGTCACATTTCTTAATTGTCTTTTAATCAAATGCAGTCAGACTGAGTTCCTATCCTGCCTGCTGGTGGGGAACTCAAACTCTGTTGTCAGGGTTCACTCCCCATTCTGGGGTCATGCAAAGGTCCTCGGATCTTGCACAGTGCAGAACGCCAGGGGTGGGCCCTGAGGCCTTGTCCACGCAGCCTCTGCGGACACCAGCCCAGGGCGCTGCAAGGCTAGTGTCTTGGCCTATGTGGAGGGGCATCCCAGGAACCGGGGTGCCCAGCATCCAGCCGCCCCAGGGACTCCACTCCCTTGGGCAGGGCCCTCATCTCCTAGTGCTGACGAACAGGTCTGGGTCCTCCCCCTTACAGGCCTCATGGACTTCTGTCCCCTTCTTGTCTTCGGGACTCTGCCCTTCCTTTCTCTTCTCCTCTTACTCCAAGACCCTGCACCTAACCTCAGTTCAGTCAGCCTTTAGCCACAGGGTCCGGAAGCATGGCTATCTATCCTCAAGCAGTTCTTCCCACCCTGAGGGTGCAATTAAGGCAAGGAAATGCAAATAACTCGGCTACGTTCTCAGAATAAGTGGAGGGAAAAAACCTAGTGAAAGAAATTAATACACTGATATTTTAATGTCATGCAGATAATCACAGAAAAACTCTGCTTCACAGGTGGACAGCAGGCTCTGCAGCCACCTGTTTCTACCCTGTTGCCCAGGCAGAACGGCAGCGCTGCTGCAGTTCCTCAGAGCTGTCCTCCCAGTCTCACCAAGTCCCCAATTTAGCAGCAGCATCTGTGAAACCAAACTGAGTCATTCTGCTGCAGTGAGTCAGCGAGGCTGAGCCAAACACAATTCCCAGCTCCGGGGGAGGGGTCACTGGATGAGGCACTTTCCCCATCGGAGGTGCTTTAATCAGGTTATCTTGGACTCTAATGA